CTTCGAACCTCATTATAAGCTCGTATCTATTGTTCACAAACTGGTCCATAGAGGAGTAGTTACGGTACGCAATATCCCCCAAGTTTGACTTTGACAATGTATGAGCGGCAGTTAACTTTTCTTCTCAGCCGGCTGAGGGAAGCAAGACTCTCGTAGCCACTCCTTGGGCGCGAAAGGAGTCACCTCCGGAGGAAGGTGCCCCTTGGAAGCCATACGTAATGGCTGTCATTCGAAACCTGAAGCATGCCGACAAGTCGAACTGGCACCATCGCATGGCTGTCAGGGTAAGTTCAACAATATGCACTATCACCTGTAACGACCCAAGACTTACCTGAATTAGGCTGCCCATATCACTTATGACGATGACAAGGACGCTACCGCAGCCGCAGGAGCCAAGGGTGAACTGACACAGCAGATATTCACAAAGACAATGACGATCCAGGTGTGGAGGCCTGAGAATGAGCGTCCCGGCAGACACTTCGTTTATACGACACGATACGTGTATTTCTTCGTGGCTCTACTAGAACAACTGGATGACCGTGCAAGTCTCGACCAACTACTACGTCGGGTCAGGAAAAAGCAGGGCGATTTTATTAACCATGCGAAACTATGGGAAGACCTATGTTTAACCTATGCACGAGTCATACGAAAAGCGGGCAATATCAACGAAGGACATGACGAAAGCGTGTTCAAACCAATCGGGTGGGACGAATTCGTCGCAAACACAGCTCGCCTAGAAGGTCTCCCCCAGTTAGCTCCAGAGAGCATAACACTCCTTGAACTTCTCCGCGATGCCGTCGAGCTAAAGAAGTTAAACAACAATCTCATGAAAGTCTCCCTATTAGAAGACCTCATCGCCGACGTCTACTCCCGCCTATACGAGGTCAACATGCCCAACGTCATCGAACAAGCAAACGAAGAAAATAAAGAGAAAATGAAAGTAGACCACCTCCTCATGGCCAGCGATGGCGCGGCAGACACACCTACACCCCCAACTTCCGCGCCTGCATCCGAAGCCCCAGCACCCCGCGGCCGCACAAAGGGCATCGCAAGACGGGACATACAAAAACGGGCCGAGACGATCGTCCAACGCAAACTCGCGCCTCGCGCTCCTATCGCCAAAGCACCCGCCGCTGCAGAAAATGAACCATCCCACGCCGTCGGCGCAGTCACATCCGCTCCCGAGCAAACGAAAGACACTGCTACATCCGCTGCAGCGGCTGATGAGCTGGCCTCAGGGCAACAAAGCGATATTCCCAATAGCTTGCATGACAGTGCTGATGATGAGAGCGAGCTGAGCGAGATAGATGATGAGAAATTATCTAAGCTTGCGGCAGAGCGCAGCTTGTTGTTCCCTAATCTGCAGGATAGGGGATCTTTGGATCCGGAAGTGGAAATGTCGGCTCAAGCTAGCGCCGATGGGGACGGAGCTAATGAAGGGGCCGGTGACGGGGAAGAAGACGGCGATAGGGATGAAGATGCTGACCTTGGTGATGAAGGTGAGACCATGGTAGAGGAAGGGGAGACTATGGCAGAGGAAGGTGAAGAGGGTGTTGATGGTGATGAAGCCGAAATTGACGGAGAGGGCGAAGGCGAAGGTGAGGGAGACGACGAAGAAGATAACGAAGCGGGTGGGGAAGAAGCGGTAGAGGAAGGTGATGGCGAGCCTGAGGGCGATGCTGACGGGAACGAAGCCAACGACATGGATGTCGACGACGGAGGCGAGCAACTCGCTGCTCCTGAAGCTGACCAGGAAAGTGACCATGTGTCTGATTCGGAGGCAATGGATATCTGACGCATTTGAGCTCTAAACCCTTTTTCATGACTTCACTGATATCCCAAGGCCAACTCCAACGGCTGCATGCTTTCTATAGATCATCTGCTTTCATTTTCCCATGGCAAAAGGCGTTCAGGTGCGAGGAAGCAAATGGTGAAGGTGGTATTTTAACATTTGTACCATAAACAAGAATTAATATTTATACATGAAATGTCGTAACCCCAATCTATCACAACCAAAGCATAACGCCCATGATCCTCCTCATATAATGTACAGTGAATAAGGGTTCCAACATGTCAAGCCAAAGAAAAAAATAAAGAAAAAGGACTGGGCGTGTCGAAACTTCAGTCTTGAAAAGGTTCGCAGAAGGTATCATCAAGATATTTAGATGTCTTCCTCGGGGGCGAAATCCCATTTTCGGGTTGCCATCTTTCTTAGCCTTTTACCGGGGGAGTTTGCAGGCGGAGCAGGAGAAAACATGCTGTCTGCAAGCTTCAACTGATCCATCCGTTGGAGTGCCATGTCAATGTCACTCTCGCGACCAAGGATATTGGAATTGCGAGACGACTCGAGTGTATTCTTGGATTTGGACTTCTTTGTAGGAGATCGGCACATTAGTTCACGTTCCAATGATGTGACCTTGCTGCGAAGCTGGTCAATTTCGAACTCCAGTTCTTCCACCTTCTCATCCCTAGAAGGCTCGGGATCTGTATGGACTAGGTGCATCTGTTAGTTTGACCACAGATCATCTATGAGAGAGGGGAAGGAGTGGAAACAGTACCTTGGAAGCCGCGAGACAATAGTTCAATCTTCTTATCAAGGTGTTCATCGTTATGACCAGCCTGTGATGATCAGCAAGATGCTAGCAGTTGTCTGCAAGCCAAGGTGCTCACCTGTTCCTCCAGAGCAATTTGCCACTTCTTTCTCTCTTCTTCCATCCTCTCATCCATTTCGGCCCAGCACTCCTCGCGCACTTCCTGCTCGATCACGAGACATGTTTCTTCACTAGTTCTTAATCTCATATCTAACTCTGCTCTCATGATCTCTTCTTCTGCTAATCTCACGGAAAGTGCCTCATTCTCCTTCGCCAGTCTGTCGATTTTGGCTAATGCCTTCTCGAGCTCTTCACTAGTTGCCATATTCGACGTAGAGCGTTCGCTAGCAGAAGACTTGCGAGGCTCAACTGTAGCAGAGTAGACAGACTCGGTCGCAGATGGAGCCCGAGGCACGGTGACTTCCCGCGCCAGAGCTGAATAGCGTAGGATCTGCGAAGTTGCGTTGTAGTCCCCAAGAGGATCTGCAGTCACTACCATAATTGCCTTTTGTGGGTGGCGATTGGGACCAGACGTCTGGTTAGACGATGGGAATGAGTTCGAGAATAGTAGCTCGGTGAGCTTGCATTGCCTGAAGGGGACCAGAGCAGTCTGTGCTTATTAGCAGACGCTGCGTAAGTGTGAAAGTGAGTCGTACCTTCCCCTCTTGTATCTCGCTCTGCATTTGTAAGCATCGACCGAGATACATGAGACTTTCGTTGATTTTGCCCGCCTCAGCCAGGGTAGATCCAGCCGTTTTGGCGGTTCTTGCACGCTCGGAGCCTAGAGCACGGTTAGTAACTCTAGGATGTGCTTCCAGTTGTGAACTTACCAGCAAGATCTGCCACTGTGAGTGTGTTCCCCATCCATGTTTCTTCTCCCGTTCTCTTATTGCGCATCCTTCTCTTGACTTCGAGGCAGAAGAATCCATGGCTTCGTGAACTGACACTGTTCGCGCCAGTACCCGTGACTTTGCGCTCAGTAAGTCCGACTTCTAGAATTGCCAGTGCCTCTTCATAAGTACTGCAGGCTATTTTGCGTAAGCCCGCGACAACCTTTCTGTCGGGAGATCCTTCAGTAGACTTGAAAAGGAGGGGTCTTCGTCTGTCCTTCTGGCTGGTTCCCCCACGCGACACAGTACTACCTTGACCTGGGACTATCGCTGGCGATAAAAGGTCAAAGATGCGATCATTATAGACCTCATACATTGACACCAGTACGATATATTCAGAGTTAGGATTCAGTTCCAACGTGAGGTGGCTAACATCGGGCGAACGAGGAGCAACATTTGGCCGCTGGGGCAGATTACGACGGGGGAAAATAATAGCAGGTGTCGGTTCCTTTAAGTGTTGAGAGTGTTTAGCGCGATTCAGATCAATAAAGCTAGGTTGAGTGCATGAAAGTGCAAATGAAAGGCCAGAGACCATTTGTCTGGGGCCCGCTTTAATGGTGGCATTTGGGTTAAGGCGGCCCATGTGGTTTAAGCTTGGGGGAAATCCATTGGGCAGTCCATACAACAAATTATGGCCGCAGTAATGACTTGGAAAGGGGGCTTGAGGGCGCAAGACCGAGGACCTGAGCAATTGGTTCTGGGAAGGGAAGCATACCGTCAGAGGAGTCTGAGCTCTTCCAGTGCTCATTGGGGTCTGTGCTCTAGAATTCCTACCACGGTCGGCACTTTGGTCTCCATATACAGCTTCGAGAAACGTCTGTGCTGTGAATATCTGCGATTCTGACTGGTCCGACGACGCAACTGAGGACAGAAGGAGGGGATTGATAGAGTTGTCTGGTGGTTTGATTGTCGAGGCTAACGATTTGAAAATCACATCTAGACTCATCTGGGTGAGGCCTCTTTGGGTTTTCGAGCCCAAGATGGTGTGGCTCTGTGCCTGGCCGTCAGCGCCGCTTCATATCTTTTTGCGTTTGATCCCCACCTTTCCACTTCCTGTCACACCTAATGTAGCGACCAAGCCATCTCTTCCCTCGAGCAGCACTCCCTGTATGATTGAATCGAGTCCTGTGTCCTCGAACACATTTAACTGAGAAGCCGACTCTTCAAAAACCTTGGTGAATCCAAATTTCTCAACTGCCCGCTTTCTAGCATCGCTTGGCGGCTGCAGGACAATATGGGTTGCTGCTGAAGCTGAATTTCCTTGGTCATTTTCAACGTCATCTCGAGGCTCTGGATACTCGACTGTTAAGCATCGTTCGGCCTGGTCATCTGGCTGGGAAATGGGCGGACGAAGGCGGAGGTACACCTGAAATAGTGACGATTGAGAGGGTTTCGCTGGATTCATAGCTGCGGGTCCTTCTCAGTCGGCTGTTCACATAAGAGGAGACACGACAGCAAGAAGTGGGTTAGTATCGTCGTCCCCACGTTGGCCTGGTTTAGTCGGATCGTTGATAACGTTGAAGCAGTTGATGGGTTTCCACTTTCAGATGTCATGCTGAGTCTGTCATTCCCCTTTCGGTTAGTGTCATGTTGCCCAGGCAACTCAATCCTTCCCAGCCCAAATGGGGTTGATGCCCCCTACATCAGGCCGAAATCGAACATCCTTAGCTGTAGCCCTAAGGAATACCACTTTTGTTACACCAAATAACACACTTCATACTTTTGTCCATTGCCAGGGGGTTTTTTCTTGTGACCTGGAAACTCTCTATACGAGGTCTCACCCCGTGATAGCCTGGGTCCCTACTCTGCCCACTTACTTGGCTCAGCCCTGCTCGTATTCGCTAAGTGGAACCAACAAAATGTATGGTGACCAGCGAAACTCATATCGTCATGCATACGCCCGGTAGAATATTGGATCTTCATTGACGATCCCGGGGATTATAAGCTTCCAGGGCGATTTCAGATGACAACAAAGATGGCATCGAAAGTCAGCCTTGTTTCCAGAAACTGACCAGTTTTGGGCAAGAGAACTTGCTTGGACTAAGTCAGAAAGAACGGTACCCACTAAATCCACCTCTACCCTGCCCTAGATTGAGGCTGGTTTTGCGAGATTGACTTGTATCATTGGGCACTCATTGAGGCTTGTATTTGATATGAACCGGATCCCGAGCTACTTCCACTTTCCTATTTAGGTCAGCTCGTTTTCGCTTATGACTTGTCGATAGTTTCTCGAAGACCTGTTGTCGATATATAGATAGCCATAACTTCATAGAATACCGCCCAAGAATCTATATCATGTTTATCGTTTTCGTTACTGACCAAGTTGTTGTCAACCATTATTAAATTGTACCTCTCCATCCGAATTCATATATCCTCCCCACTAGCTAAGGACTATGATCGATAAAAGGTCTCCCTACCGTATGTTTACCCCTCTGACTTGCTCCCACAACTTTTCATCGCTGACTTTACACAGAGGAGGGAAGTCTCTGGTACTATGCACCTAATAAAGGCGCGCCGATCGCTTTTGCGATTATTTTTGCATTATCCGGTATAATGCATGGTTATCAATGCTTGTGTGTTGGACCTCCCGTATCACCGAGGCTCAAGGCTAATCAGTATTACTATGAAGCAAGTACAAGTCATGGAAAGTAACTGGCCTACTACCTTGGTCTGCGTTACTCTTCACTGCAGGGTTCGTGATGCGTACCATTGGGGCTTTCGGGCATTGGGACAATCTGGGTATTTTCATTTCAAGCACTGTCTTCCTATTAGCTGGGCCGTAAGTTCTCTTTATGATAGGTTAGTTATTGAAGAGGCTAACTGAGCTTCAGTCCTGTCTATGAGGGAGCCAACTTCTTCACTTTGGGCCGTATTCTTTACTATATCCCTTATCATTCGCCAATGCATCCAGGCCGTGTGTTCACCACATTCATTGCCATGGGTATCGTGATCGAGGTCATAACAGCCAATGGAGCATCCTTGGTCGCCAATACAAGCAATCCCGAAAGTACGCAGAATACGGGCAAGGCTTTACTCAAAGCTGCCCTGATCTTGCAAATCGCATTGATGGTGGGGTTTGTTGCCCTGGCCAGCAAGTTCTACTACAATTGCCATCGCGCTGGCGTTCTGAACATTAAAGTGAAGAGGGCCCTTTATGTGTTATATTGCAGTTGCACACTCATCACCATACGCACTATCTACCGAACTGTCGAGTATTTCACAGCTGCAAGTCTCAACACGAGCAATATCGATGATATAAGTCCCATTCTTAAGGATGAATGGTTTTTCTGGGTATTCGAGACAGTCGTTATGTTTGCCAACACCACTCTTCTCAACGTCTTTCATCCCATGCGATGGCTTCCTCGTTCAAACCGAATCTATCTTGCGACGGATGGTGTGACTGAGGTGGAGGGACCAGGCTACGAGGATCGTCGGCCATTCCTCCTTACCCTTTTTGACCCTTTCGATATAGTTGGTATGATCACAAAGAAGGGAAAGAAGGAGAAGTTTTGGGAAGTTGACCACCAGCCATCGACTAGCGTCTGAGGTGTAAAGGTATTGCTTGACGGTTTATGTTTTGTTTTGTTTTATCGCCGTTTTCGGTTGTTTCTCTGTACCACTTGTTGGATACCATTCTGTATATATATAGCCTTCATTATTATTATTATGGAACCGAGGTTTTGAAATCAACAAGTCCCTTGGTCGTACTATTGTTTTCATATCAGGGTTATGAACCGTTGGACTATAGTTCATGTTTAGACCAATCAAAAAGCACAGTTGAGTGGTTGGGTCTGCACGGAAAAGCTACCGAGAGCCGCGCAGGAACCACATGGCCTTTTGGTACGGGCAACATTGAAGGACACATCTCCCTTTGCCCAACTGGCTGACAACCACCCACTCACAGCCGCTTGTTGAGCAAAGTGTGACTCGACTGATACATTCAGGTGAGCGACATTAAATTGGAAGTATTGTTTCTCCATACCATCAGTACTCGCGAACATCCCCTCCGTCCAACCTCCGAAGCTCCCTCCGTCGCGATCACAGGCACAGGCTGTCTCTCAACTCGACCATCAATCAACAAGCGATTCGAACAAGCACCTTTACTCTATATTATTCAATAATCAATTTGACCTCGCCTGTTTGAATAGGGTCGCAACAATGCTGTCGTTTCTCTCGTCGAATCTCTCCAATGCCCGGCAGTCACTTGCCCAGGTACTCAACTTCGCGCTGGTGCTCTCTACTGCATTCATGATGTGGAAAGGCCTCTCTGTGTTCACCGCATCCTCCAGCCCGGTTGTAGTGGTTTTATCCGGTAGTATGGAGCCGGCATTCCAAAGAGGAGATCTACTTTTCTTATGGAATCGAAGCCCGCGAGCTGAGCTAGGCGAGATCGTCGTCTACAATGTCCGGGGAAAGGACATTCCTATTGTGCATCGCGTCGTGAGAACATTCCCAGAAATCGAAGGAAAAACGAAGAAAGTGAAGGAGATTTCCGAGTATGTCCAGCCCTTTGTTCTCTTTGATACATCACGTTTCACAAGAATATCAACACTAACGGATCACCACTTCCCCATCTAGGTCCTCACCGATCCCCAACAATATGCTCCTTACCAAGGGCGATAACAACATCGCTGACGACGTTGAGCTGTACGCGCGAGGTCAGGACTATCTCAATCGCGAGGAAGACATTGTTGGCAGTGTACGGGGGTATATCCCCATGGTGGGATATGTGACTATCTTGCTCAGCGAGTACCCGTGGCTCAAGACAGCCCTCCTTGGAATTATGGGATTAATGGTCATGTTACAAAGAGAGTAGTAGCACCTTTCTACCATTGGAGTTCGGACAATGATTACTGTTGACATTTGGATGTTGTTGTCGGGGAGAGTTTATTCAGCGTAGACGAGAACCTGTGCATGGATCGCGTGGGCAGGTAATTATAGCTCTAATAGTAACGCCCGATGCAACCCTGGGGCCATAATGCACCGAGAACCCAATAGTTAGAGGGGTCCACAGATGGCTACTTAGCAAAATTGAACGCATGGCTTTTGCCACCATGAATTGTGCACAAATGGTTTTCGATGGTGCAGGGGGGGTTGTAATAAGCGCCAACAAAAAGGGGGTGAGAAGATAAAGGTCACTGCTAAATAAAGCAAAACATTAAATACAGCCAGCCCTGGAGCGTGGACAGGGCCGCTCTGACGTCGTCCATTCATTCAACTTTCCGCCCCGCCTGATCGGCTCGGCGGCCCCGCCGACTGCTGTTTGAGCTCGAGGTGGATGACTCGACTTTGGACAACACACTCTCTTTATCGCTTGCGGTCCTTTCAACCCCTGCGTCAATCCTTAGTAACACTGGCTCTTTGACTGTGTATCAGTTCTGGGGTATTCTTTATTCTTCTAACCGAGATCCCCAACTTTCATCATCTGACCTAATAGAGCTCCGTGTATCCGAGAGCTCTTTACCATCTTTTTGAATTTTCCCCTCCTACACTTGGTCTTCAAGTCTTCCAAAAGAAGAAAAAAACTTCTGAAACGATGGGTAGCAAAAGAATAGCCAAGGTAAGTACCAGTTTCACGTCTCTCTGTGGACAGAGCTCCCGTGACTATTGACCGAGCAGAGGGGCTAACAATCAGTTTACTAGGAACTAGCTGAGCTCACAGAGTCTCCTCCAGAGGGCATTACCGTCGAGCTAGCAAACGAGTCGGATATCTACCAATGGAAGGTTTACATGGACGGCCCAGAAGGGTCGCCGTACCACGTAAGTTCCCGAGACGGAAGACGAGTCCCTATCCTGCCTTGATGTGTTAGCGCAGTGAAACACTGACCCGTATCGCCCTGAATCAGAATGGCAAATTCCTAGTCAAGCTCAGTCTTCCCACCGAGTACCCTTTCAAACCACCATCTGTTTCGTTCGGGACCAAAATTTACCACCCCAATGTGACCAACGATGACAAGGGCAGCATGTGTCTGGGCATGCTGCGGGCCGACGAATGGAAGCCTAGCTCCAAGATCGCAGCGGTGCTTGAGTTCGCGCGTCAGCTGCTCGTAGAGCCCATGCCTGATGATGCTGTCGAGGGTCGTATCGCAGAACAGTACAAGAATGACCGGGCGCGGTATGACGAAATCGCACGGGAATGGACAAGAAAGTATGCGATGGCATAGGTTGGCTATCTAGAAGCACAATTACCAGAGTTGGCTTCGTGGTACCGCTCTCGGGGGGGAGAATTGCTGATCGGACACTACTTGATCTTTGAAGGGTGAGGTACCTGGTTGGCTTTACGCTCCGAGCTGAAAATAGAGAAGACACAAGAGTACATATCCGTTACTACCATTATTGCTTTCGGGTCAAAATCTCATCTGAGGGACTATAGGGACAGGTTTGGGAGTTTTCATCTTCGATGTCTAATCCATTCGTTAGCATTGCAAATCATTTCTAGGACAGGGTCTTACCTTGTTCCGCATGTGAATAATTCAGGTTAGAGTCATAGAACCACCCGAAGAAAACAGGGGTTTTTACACAAGTTTATATCATGTATCTGTGAAGGGATCTGTCGTAGGTGCACCGCGATTGGGAAGGGGAAATTATGCTTCGTATAACCCTACTACGCTGCTAGTTGTTGTAGCTTTAGGTATACTATGCAGGAGTCTTATGGACATAGTGTTCAGTGACAGTATAGGAGGAACACGTTGCAATCACTTACCGTTCCACTTCCAATCAAACATACACTACAAAATCAAGTTTAGTTTGACTATCTCATAGAGCAACAAGTCATGTGTGATCAACCCCGTGATATCATATAGTCAGCTTACTGAGCTGGTTAAATACCATAACCGGATTACGTTGATAACACTCAACAACCGACTCCGAAGCTGATCGACATGATCTACCACAAGGATTACTCGTCTCGGATTGAACGGAACGATATCTCAAGATATTTCCTTCGGACCGCTTGTGTATAACGTTACGGAAGGGAGAATACCTGGACGATGATCCGGACAGGAAGGTCAGTGGCGATGACGTGAAGTGGATCGGATATAACCGCCGGATTTCCCTGGACGGATTACTACATAGTATGCATCGAGGGATGCAAATGTGGCGGGGGCCGTTCGGAGAAAACACGGCCTGGTAGCCTCAGCGGGCGCCTAAAGACATTGCGTCTATATTGCAGGCAGCCAAGCCCAAAATTTTCCAGATGTGGAAAGTTGTGGGCAAAGGCTGAGTGCAGTGCCCTTTTGCCTACATGAACGAGGAGGTAGTTGTCTCACAGCGGGTCCCAGTTACCCAACGGGGCCGTTTATGGTGGACAAGGGACCATGGGGGTGGGTGACATGTAACTGTGTTGCTATTCAGTGTTTGAGAGAAAACGTTGGGGTCCATCATGATGGAACAATGGTTCGGAGGTGACAGCGAATCCGAGATGCGGATGTAAAACACAGGGGTATAAGAAGCGCCGTTGCAGTGCATGGGAAGAACATCCAGTTTGTCAGATATATATCAAAATTGGATGCTTCCCCCTCATTCTTTGTAGGCAGGTATGGCGTGTGCGTGCACTATTGACCTATGTGCCTCTACTAACGATGCAGATAGATTACATTGGACACGCCAAATGCCGAGAGGGCAGAATCTCAAACGCTCGGTTCGTTCCCCAGAAGAACATGGGTGTCAAATGATGTCGAGCATATTCTGCACTCTCAGAGCTAAAAAAGCTAATAATATACTCCGGACATTTGATGCAATCATGCAAGGTCAGAACATATCTAAGCGCTAATATCGTGCCATCTTTAGTCATATTTCAGCATTGTTGTCGGGATGTCGTTGGTTTGTTGGGGTACCAGCGAATCGCCCAATGCAACTTCGACCCACCGATCTCTTGCGTTCAGGTACAATCGGAGAACATCGTTTGGTATACTGCGACGCGCCCGGCAAAGTTCAAACTTCAAACGCAAAAGGAGAATCAAAGCGTGCAGTAGTCTACGAACGGTTACTGGTTAAGCAAGTCTCATTGTTCCTTTTGCTTATCTCCGTATCGTTTGGGTATTACGATTTGCGCCTATCCCCACCATATTTTGACTTTGAAATTTACGCAAATTCCGAGTTTTTCAGTCGAAAACACGGAAAGCCAATCTAAGGAAGTGCCAAGCCGAAGAGAGGAAGAAGAGATTGGAAGGCAAATTTTCGCTTTCTGGAAGTCAATTCAACAAGGCCAGGAGTCAATCAATGCCCCTTTATCCAATAATAGTGATGACCGATGGACACCACTCTCAGCCGCTCGGCACGACGCAAGGGTGGCTAACGGTGTGTGAAGTGATCTCTCACAAGGGGGGAAAGCCAACCGAAACAAATCCAGAGCAGCGGATTCGCGTCCTCATGTCGAGGATCGGAAAAGATCACCTAGTAGCACCACTTTCTCGAGGATTCGGAAGGGCTAGGAAGACGCCGGCGTGTTCTTGGTGGCTTCTGAGAGTGGAGCGAGATATTAGTAGCAAATACGGAGTATGTTAGGACGATGCTAATTATTTGAGCCTGGTTAGGATCCCTCAAGACGGAATCCGGCACTTCTCCACTTCAGAACAGGTGTGCTATTCCTGTCGGGATTGGGGAATGGGTTGCGGGCCATTAAATCCCTATAGTAATAAGATTAAGACGGGATTCTTTAGTCCTCCTCGCTAGTATCAATGGGATGGAGTCGGGACGACGGGAGCACTCCCGTATAGTGCTAATTCACCGAAGCAGTTAGGGCATCTGTGAATGGATCTGGTAAGCCTTCCATGTGAAGTGAGCCGTGATGAATAAACAATGTTCTGTATCCTCAATTCGAAAGGAATCGCAGTTGAAACCCTTCTTATGCAGGTATGTTTTGTCTAGGACCAAAAATGTGCATACTACTTCACTACGGAGTAGGTGGTACTCCGTAGTAGTAGGAGACTTCTCTTCGCGATGCATGCAGTCTCCAGGCGGAACGGAACGAACACCCCACATACGATGTATGGCTATGTATGGATATAGATACAGACAAATGTAAAAAAAAAATACATCAACACCATCGACTAACTCGATACGACCTAAAGTATTGACCCAAAATCTGGACGGTTGGGGGCAGTTCCAACTTCCTAGTGGGCTGTGGGACAAAAAGGATGCATGACTGGCTGTCAATTATCCCCGTGCATATAACCTGTCATTAATATGCAGAGTAATGATCTATCATATATGAACTGACTGCGAAAGTGTCTATAATGACTGGTGATATGAAGGACTCTGATCTTGCAGTGAAAGACTTGGGCGTCAAGGTGGTCAGGTGCCGCAACAGGTATTTCAACGGTGTATGTAACCCATTGTTGACAACGGAGAAAAAACACAATGTACAATTCCATTATCGCATTTTTCCACCCGTTGATATCCAACTTCCCTGTTGAAATCCCGCGCTTCAAGAGGATATACAAGGAAATGAACAATAAAAACAAGGCCGTTGATATCATGCGATCGTCACTTTGAAACCACACAGCGAATCATAGCGGACGAAAATATTAAAGGGCTTTATATTGGGAAATAAACCCATTAGAAAAATACCACCAGGGTCTGTTTTGGTGAAACGCCATCCATACCGCGCTAAGCCTCAAACAAGCTGTTAGCTTCATTTTGTACCAAAATTCCCCTTTTTTTCCATTCCCACTTGGGCGCTCCGCTTTCGCGCCCTCTCAGGTTTTTCAATCGCTCGTTTCCTTTCGCTCTCTTTGCCTGCAGTTTCTTATCTGTTCTAAACATCTCTCATGAGGGATGGAGTCTCCAAGTAAACCTCTGGTAGGATAGAGAGACTTTTTGATGGATTGAAACACCGGTGTGGTTAGTTGGGGCAACTTCTCCGATTTTATTGTCCTTCCCTCCACTCGTTCCTTTTTCCCGCATTTATAGGATTGATTGTCGGGTAGCTTGACTGCTTTTGAGATCCCCATCATTCGTTTTGAACCACGACCACCCGAGCTCCATTTTTACAGCTCGCTCAGCCTTTCATTTCCCCTTTCAATTGTTCGCCTCTTGTTCTCAACCACTTCTACATATCTGAATCGGTCCATCAAGCGGTGAATTCGCTTCCAATTACGTTCCATTTGACTTCGTTATCGACAAATGTCCAGCGGGAACTGGGTTATCAATCGTGGCCATGGTCACAGAAAATGGAGACTTTCGGTATCCGCCGTCGCCAGGCGAACATAATATCTCCAACCGTCGCAAAGTGCCCAATCCTCCTCGTCTCAATCCTCTAAGAATCAACCCCCCCTCTCCTCCATCTTCTCGAACCGCCACCGCCCCACGTGCGCCTCCGCTCCCACGCTCTCCGAGAAGACCCCCTGTCATTCCGGATGATCCTTTCCTACGCTCACCCTCCCCCCAACCCGGAATGGGTGGTGATTATATCTCGCACAGACCGACGTATCGCATGCCCGCCACTGCTAATCCAACGTTTGAACGCTTCCCCAGAGCTCCTTCGAGAGAAAGTGACTTTGAGCGTCCGACATATCGTCGCAAGACCCCTCCTCCTCAACCAAGATTAAGAACCTCCAAATCTACATCGAAGCTTCACAGACCTCCCAAGACCCTCCATTCCCTAGATCGTCAGTCCAACGACACCCCACAACAGGGACTTGGCTTACCGCGCTTTTATCATAATGGATCGACAGAGGCCAATGGGGAAGATGCTCTCCGCTCCAGCGTGAACTCCGCCATGACGTCGCGCTCTAGTGTCGGACAGGCAAGTGGAACGGAGCGAAGTAGTGTCCTAACGAAGAGTAGCTCTATTACCGATCTTTCTCCTGATACACCAGATGGATCGTATGAGAAGGACGGGGGAATGAGCGTGGAAGATGCTATCTCTATGTATCTCGACGGGTTTAGTGACGTCACGGAAGAGCCGGGGTCTCCTGACTGGCGTGGAGAGAGCAAAGCAAGACCGCTGAGTCCCCGTCCGCCGACAGAGCTGACTCTAGACGATGGGCATACTTCCGATGAACATTCGCCCGAGCTAGATCCGACCGAGGATTTGCCGCCGGTTCCACCGCTCCCAGTTTTAAACCCGCCCGACCAGAATACGCTGGATGAGCAGTTCTTGGGCCACGCACAATTGAATGAAAAACAATTTAGCGAGCCCCTGGACCAGAACACGCCGGATCGGCCATCTGATACCAGCCCACTAGAGACGACGATATTCATTCCCGGCACCGTGCCGCCTCCGTTTTTGAAGCCTACCGAGAGCAGGGACCAGTATGGATTTCGGAAGGCCAGTCACCACGTCACATTACAACAGTACGAGGCCTGGAATCGCCCGTATGCAGCATTTGCTAGGAGTCGGAGAAACAAATGGTCAGAATTGCTGAAGGAGCATGGATTGCCCTCCACCGAACCGAGGATTTTCCCGCCCAAATCAAACAAGATGAAGCGTCTTGTCCGCAAAGGCATTCCTCCTGAGTACAGAGGGGCAGCTTGGTTCTTTTATGCCGGTGGTTATGAGCACTTGAATCGTAATCCAGGACTATATGATCAGCTTGTGAACCAAGCTATGGAAAGCCCAAGCAACGATGACAAGGAGCATATCGAACGAGACTTGCACCGAACGTTCCCCGATAATATCCACTTCAAGCCTGAATCTACTGACGGGATCGGGAACTCAGGTGCTAGCTCTGGTAGCAGCAACCTGAAGCATGGCTCGGTCACTGTCGAGACGCAAATGATCCAATCGCTCCGGCGGGTGCTCTATGCATTTGCGTTGCACAATCCCCAAGTCGGTTACACGCAATCACTCAACTTTATTACAGGCCTGCTCCTCCTGTTCCTTCCGGAAGAGAAGGCGTTTTGGATGCTGCATATCATTACTTCTGTTTATCTCCCCGGTACCCACGAGATAAGCCTCGAAGGTGCTAATATCGATCTATGGATCCTTATGGTTCTCTTGAAAGATTCAACCCCGCTAATTTACAACAAAATTACGGGCTCCGCTCCCGGCAAATCCAAGACGCCTCCGTTGACAGTCGACTCTCGGTTACCGGATATTACACTAGGCTTGACGAATTGGCTCATGTCATTGTACATCGGGACTGTGCCCTTGGAGACGACTTTACGCATCTGGGATGTCTTTTTCTACGAAGGATCGAAGACATTCTTCCGAGCTTCGCTAGCTATTTTCAAGGCTTGTGAGAGGGACATCCTCGCCGTATCCGATCCCATGGAGGTTTTCCAAGTCGTCCAAACGGTTCCCAAGAGGCTGTTGGATGCCAATACTCTACTGGATGAGTGTTTCGTGCGGCGCCATCGTGTTGGACAGGGCCGCATTGAAGAGCTAAGAGCATCTCGACGGACAGCGGTTCGGCAAGAGAAGCTGCGACGTTCGAAAGCCTTGAGCAAGGGATACCTTCAAGCCGCCACGGATGAATGGCCGACTACGCGATCACGGACACCCGTTCCTGGGGTTGAGCGCAGCATTGCCGGTGGATGGCGTCATATGAAAGATGCGTTCCGGTAAATGTCTGCGACGGTGGCTTGCAAAATTGCTGTTGCTTGTAACGAAATTGTTTTTATTGATACCCGAGAAAAAACATGCCTTGTTCCGATACTATTTGGTACTCTACGCCCTCATTTATTGTGTTCTTTTGTCCTACCACCCTCGCGCACCGTCGTCTACGGACTCCAAAAGTGCTTGCGAATTTCGCCGACTCATTTCATATTCTGTAATGTTTACAACTGTAATTTCACTCATTGATTGACGCATTTTCACAGCCAGCTACCGGGCGTTCGTTGTTGGATAAGGGATTGCGGAGTTTTATCTGTGGTCAACTATCTGATTCTTGGGTCTGACATTGCCTGTGCATTGGAAAACTTGCGCTGGTAAATTGGAATAGATCTCTGGATCATGAAATGGGCAGACAATGTTCGTGATGATCTTTCTATGTATGTATTGTACATATGTTGCATGAGCGCCTTTTTTTTTTTTTTTCTCTACTTCCAACATCTTCTGCGGCACTGCTTTTGAATATGAATTCTGATACCACTGTTATTTACAATTCATGTACATAGATTAGAGCAATTACCGATCAATTGAAAAGCATTCACCAAAATTGATAAAGAGAACAAGAAAAAATCAAATCAACTAAATTTTTGTGAGGAGATTTTGGGAAATATAGTTGGAGTGGTGGTACGCTAGAGCAGACTATCAGACGCTAAAGAGTAGGGCTGAGGAAGGGTCCAAGATTCAAGCTCTTGGGTTTTCTTGGAACTGCCTCAATGCAACCTCGTCATTGGCTCGGATCAGTTGGCGAGAGTATCATCATGACGCGAAGGAAACTCTTGAAAGGATTTGGTTGGATCATTCGATTTCTTGGAGATGGAGCCATGAATTTGAGTGACCGCATACGGAAGGGATGCGAGTTAAGATAAAAAATTGTTGCAGGAAATCTTCTTTCGCTGCGCCCCTTGCCGTGCCTTGTGTACCTGTTTCCTCTTTCTTTTTATCTTGCCCCTCCCCCCTCCTCTTTCTTCGTGTCTCCCACGATTTGTGTCCGTTCCCGGCAGCTGGTCATCTTTTTTTTTTTTTAATGCAGCCATGAGCGGTCAAGCAGCGAGTTACTATAACCAAAACGAGAGCTTTGGTGGAGGTCCACCTCCACCTCAGCAGCAGCAACAACCATTCTACGATAATAACGCCAATAATGGCAACTATGAATACGCCGACCCCAACTATCGAAGAGGTCCGGAGCCCAAGCAGCCTCACGAACCCCCGCCGACTTATAATCAGGCCGTCTATGGTTTCGACGATGCTTTCAAGATTGAGAAACCCAAGTTTAACGATATCTGGGCTGGTCTTTTGGTACGTCTTCTCATCTTTATTTTCTTGGATTTGCGTAAATTGTTGTCGCTACCCATCACGCAAGTTGAACTGACCGATGATGTAGCTCATCGCGGTGTTCCTGGGATATGTTGCAGTATCTGGAGTAGCAATTCACCGATATGCGAAATACAAAGGTTTCAATGGCGGCGGCATCTATGATTCGTCCAACACCTTCTCGCTTGACACCAATACTCTGGTGCTATTTATATTTGTACTATGTGTGGCACTCGCCTTCTCATGGGCCTACTTCCTCGGAGCTCGCTATTTCCCTAAACTCTTCATCTGGGTTACAGGGATCTTGAACATTGTGTTCGCTTTAGCCACCGCGATTTACTATTTGGCGAAGAAGCAATATGGTGGAGGTATTGTGTTCCTCATCTTTGGTGTCTTTGCCATCGTTTGTTTCATCAGTTGGATCCCGCGCATTCCATTTACGGCATTCATGTTGGAAACATCCATCGATGTTTCTAGAAAGCACGGACACATGTTCCTCGTCAGTGCGATCGGAGGTATCGTCGCCGTGGCTTTTGGAGCTTGGTTCTCCGTAACCCTGGTCTCGATCTATGTCGCCTATGAACCCAATAGCGGCGGGGTTAATCCGGCATGTCGTGACGGTGGAGGCTGCAGTACGGGCAGAGTAATAGGTCTGGTCGTCTACGTGACATTCGCCATGTATTGGTTCAGCGAATGGCTGAAGAACACCGTCCACACGACTATCGCTGGAGTCTACGGAACCTGGTACTTCTGGAGCAACTCGCCAAATGGTATGCCGAAGGGGGCCACTCGTGGCGCTTTTAAGCGCGCCACAACCTACTCGTTCGGCAGCATCAGTTTCGGCAGCTTGATCATTGCCCTCATCAACATGCTCCGGCAGGCGTGCTCTGTCGCACAGCGCCAAGAGGCGGCAGAAGGGAACTTACTGGGTAGCATCGCATTTTGGATTCTTGGGTGTTTCATTTCCATGCTAGATTGGCTAGTCACCTTCTTCAACCGTTACGCCTTCTGCCACATTGCCCTGTATGGCAAGCCATACATCGAGTCTGCGAAAGATACATGGACCATGATGAAGGACCGGGGCGTTGACGCGCTCGTGAACGACTGTCTCATGGGGCCGGTCTTAACCATGGGTTCGGTCTTTGTGTCGTATGTCTGTGCCTTGCTGTCGTATCTGTACCTTCAGTATACCCACCCCGCCTACAACAGCGGCGGGGAATTCACCCCCGTGATCATGGCCTTCTCTTTCGTGATCGGCCTACAGGTCTGCCAAATTTTCATGACACCAGTGGGCAGTGGAATCGAGACTATCTTCGCAGCCATGGCCTGGGATCCGCAGGTGATGATCCAAAGCCACCCGGACCTCTGGTATCGTCTGGTCAACCTTTACCCTAAGGTTCAACAGGCGGTTCACGTATAATCCAGCTCACTTTGAGAATACGTCAGGCCTTCTCTACTATTCTGTTCCCAATCCTGGGGACTCGAACTAAAGGATGTTCAAAGACGAGACGAAATTATAACGGCATGAGGAACGACTTCGAACGTTATCTAACCCTAATAAATATCCAACCAAGACCTATATAAAACACTAATTTAACCTACATGAAATCAATATCATAATAAGAATCATCTCTTCATGGAACCCCTAATCCATAACCACCACAATCCAAACTCTAGAGGACCAACCAAGCCCCGAGCAAGCCAGAAACCCCCATCATAGCAAGAACGGGCACCATCTTCTCCGGCGCTGCTCCCTGGAACGTCTGGAATTGCTCCGGCTGTCCACTGGGCGTACCGCTGGGCGCACCACTCCTCAGAGGATCAACTCCACTCGGCACAGCCGCTTGGGTACCAAACAACGCCCGGGACGAAGTTTCACTGGACGCAGGACCGAACACCCTTCCACTAGACAGAGTGGTAGGAGTAGCCTTCGCGTTCGCGCTAGATGCGGGACCGAACGCTCTCACTGTAGACGAGGTTACAGGTGTAGCGTACGCATTGGCACTAGAAGCAGGACCGAACACCCGAACGCTAGATCCAGAAGGGGCAGCCCTTGTGGTCTCACTAGATGCAGGAACGAAAGCTGCTTCACTGGACGCCGCGACAGGTGTAGCCTCCAAGTTAGCACTGGATGCTGGGCCGAACATGCGGACGCTAGTGACAGCAGAAGGAGTAGCTCTCACGGCCTCGCTAGAAGCAGGTCCGAAGACTCCCTCACTAGAGGCAGCGACAGGTGTACCCTCCACATTGGCACTAGACGCCGGCCCGAACACGCGGACACTAGTAACAGCTGAAGGAGTAGTCTTCGCAGCCTCGCTAGACGCAGGACCAAAGGTAGCCTTACTAGACCAAACCACAGGCGTTGCGTGTGCGTTGACATTCTCGCTAGAACCA